CACCTCACCCTGGTCGGACTGACTATAATCAAACATATGGAGAATGACAAATGTTGATGAAGGTGTGGAGAGAAGGGAAACCTCCTACACTGTTGCAGGGACTATAAATTAGTACAACCACTATGGAAACACTATGGAGGTTTCTCAATCAAATACAGACAGAACTACCTTAGGATCCAGCATCCTACACAAAGGGATGGAAATCATCATGTCGAAGGGACACCTGCACTCCCATGTTCATCACAGCTCTGCTAACATTAGCCACAATGTGGAACTAACATAAATGTCCATCAATGGAGATTGAATAAGGAAAATGTGGTATATATTACACGATAGAATACTACACTGCCATAAAACAAAATGAAATTCTCCCATTTGCAACAACATGGATGAGATTTAAGGAACTTATGTTGAGTGAAATAAGCAAAGCACAGAGGGATAAATACCATATGTGCTCACTGATGAGTGGGAGCTAAGACAGAAAGAAGGAAGGAAAGAAAGACCACAGTGGTGTGTTGGACTTGCAGAGGAAGAGAACACACCTAGGGAGACAGAGTAAGGTGGGTGAAAGGAGGAGGGAGGGAGGTTGGGAGCAATTGAGTGGGGGACTTGGGTTATAGTTGCAATTTATGACAATGGGCATGATGCCAGTATGGATCTGGCTATCATATCGTGGCATGAGTGGTGACAATCAGCTTTGTGCCCAATGAATATTCATAACCAATAATACAGAAAAGGTAATAATTTATTGCTTTTTTTCACCATTAGTCAGAAAACATTGATATACGAATGTCAGTAAAATTGAATTTGATAGATTAACAACTTTTTCCAGATTCATAGAAGTGGTAAATTGGCAATCACCCAAGTAACCATCTTGTTTCAAAAACAATTAATTTTACTTTCTTATAAGTTAAAAGCCTAAAAGAAATAATAAATTTGTGGCCCTATCCATCTTCAGTATTTGATATTTTCAAACCAGTTGTTGTGACTCAGCAGATTGACCATATGACTTTTCATGATTCCCACGATACAATGATTTCAATTTCTGAACATAGCTGTGCCTGGGGAAGACCTTCCACTGGTCACACCATGCTGCTGGTCACACCAAGCAACGTCCACCTGTGTCCACCAATACACAGAAAGCAGCTAAAATCATCCTGCTGGTCACTGTTGTCCAGGAGTATCCCTGTCCTCCTGCTCCAAGCCCCTATTTCATAGAGAGATTTTTCCACTCTATGTCACTCACTGCTGTGGAATGTGTTTATATGCATGGTCCTCAGATTCCAATTTATCATTTAGTAAATTATAGTATATTTGACAGTATCCTTTTTTTGACCCATTAAAAAATTGAGTTTACAAGGCTAATCACCAACATGCACTAAAGGAGAAATAAGTGCATCCAGAGACAGGTACATCCAGAGACAGCTGAGAGCTACTCACCTGGACCCAAAGCCCCTGGAACCATTAGCTTATAGACGTACTCAAATGCTATTTTAAATGAATTGCTGGAGAAATAGTGTGGGC